TGGAAAATAGAATGGTGGTTGCTAGTGGTGGGAGGGGAAAAAGGAGAGTTGTTCAATGTGTACAGAACTTCGACTTTGGCAGATGAAAAAGTTCTAGGTGCTGTTGAAAAACAGTATGCATATAGTTAATACTACTGTGCTGTACACTTAAGGTTAAGATGGTACATTTTATGTTCTATCACTTACTCCTATTTTTAAAACAATTAATAGGCACTTCTATACAAAAAATAAAGAATTTAAAGAAAGTATGATGGCAATAATCTATCAAATAGAGAATATTAAGAAGAAGATAGAAATTATAAACAAGAAACAAATGAAAATTCTTGAGTTGAAAAGTACAAAAACTGAAGTGAATAAATATAAAGAGGGCTTAACAGCAGACTTGAGCTGGCAAAAGATAGAATTAGTGAATTTGGATGTATCAATACAGATGACCCAATCTGAAGAAGAAAAAGAAAAAAGAATGAACTCTGAACAGAACTTCGAAGAACTGTGAGACACCAACAAACATACCAACATATGTGTAAATAGGAATTCCAGAAAGTGATAGAAAGAGGTTGAAAAAATAGTGGCCAAAATTTCTCCAGACTTGGTGAAAGACATTAACATATACATCCAATAAACTCAATGAACTCCAAAAAAAAAAAAAAATTAATACAAAGAGATTCACAACTAGACAATCCAAAGAAAGTCAAAAACAAAGAAAAAATAATGAAAGTTGCAAGAGAAAAACAACATCACATACAAGGAAACCTCAAAAAAGACTAACAGTTGACTTCTCATCAAAAAAAATGGAGGGCAGAAGATATTGGGACATTTAAAGAGCTAAAAGAAACAAAAACTGGCTAACCAAGAATTCTATAACTAGCAAACCTACCATTCAATAATGAAGACGAAATAATGATATTCCCAGATATAAAGAAACCGAGAGAATTTTTTGCTAGCAAGCTTTACTAACAAGAAATACTAAAGGACATAGTTCAGACTGAAAGAAATGGAAACCAGATGAAAACTCAAAATTACATGAAGAAATAAAGAGCATAATAAAGATAATTACACAGGCAGATATAAAAAAACAGTCTCAATAAAATTCTCTCAACTGATTTAAAAGACAACCATATAAAACAATAGTTACAAAATTGTATTGTGATTTTAACACATAAAGACTTAACATACATAACAATAGTAGCACAGAGAAGAGAAGGAAGGATGGAGCTATTTTGGAGAAAGGAATTGATGCCAGGGATTAATGTAAATCCACAGGAATTCTTCCTTTTCCTGAGAAATATAAGTAACAAATATTTCTTTCAATAGTCACCTCCATAAATTAAAATTTCATGGGTATAATCATTGATACAATAAACACTGAACTGAACAGCAATAGAATACACATTCTTTTCAAGTACACATGGACCATTCTCCAGGACTGGCAATATGCCAGGCTAGAAAACAATTAACATCATACTAAGCATGTGTTCTGACCACAATAGAGTGGAACCAGAAGTCAACAATAGAAAGAAATTTGGGAAAGCTGCAAGTATTTGGAAATTGAACATCATACTTCTAAATAACCCATGTGTCAAAAAAGAAATCACAAAGACAACTTGAAAATGTTTTGAGCTAGATGTAAATGAAAACAGAATATCAAAAGTAATAGGATGAAGCTAGAGCAGTGTGTAAAGGAATTTTATAGCTGCAAAGGCCTGTATTAGAATAGAAGATTGAAATCAACAACCTAAGTTTCAACACTAAGAAAAATAGAAAAGGAAGAGCAACCTGAACCCTAAACAGGCAAAAAGAAGGAAATAAGTAAAGATGAAGGTGGAAATCACTGAAATAAAAATAAGGAAAAATAGAGAATGTTGAATGAAATTAAAAAGTTATTCTTCGAATGGATCAAAATAATTTTGACAAAATGTTAGTTTTACTGACCAAGAAAAAAACAGGTACAAATTAATCAAGATCAGAAATGAAAGAGAAGACATCAATACCATTAATAATTAAAAGGATATGAAATACTTTGAACAACTTTATGCCAGAAAATTAGACAATTTAGATGAAATAGGCAAATTCCAAGAGAGACAAAAATTACTTAAGAAATGGAAAATCTAAACAGACCCATAGCAATTTTAAAGAAGTTGAAATAGTATTTTATAATTTTCCCATAAAGAAAAGCATAGAATCAGTGTCTTTGCTGGAGAATTCAGCAAGTCTTCACAAACATGTTCAGAACACAGTGGAGTAGGGAACAAAGACCCCAAACCGCAGATTGACAACCTAGGTATGGATATAAAAATCCTGAACAAAATCTGAGCCAACGGAATCCAGTTAACATCTTGAAAGGACCAGATGGGATTTATTACAGGAATGTCAGATTGGTTTAACATCTGAAAATCAGTAAGCAAGACACATTTGTGGAACAGGATCTTCCTGAGGTGATGGAAATGTTCTAAGCTTGGATTGCGGTGATGGCGGATTTAGTAAAAGTCATTGAATTGTCCATTTGAAACAGCTGTTATTTTACGGTGTGAAAATTATATCACAATAAAATTGTTACAAAAACTGAGTGACCAGGAGAGGAGGGGCTGGGCAGGGCGTATCCAGGGCAGGTTGGGGGCGAAGGGTTCAGGCAGGCTCTCAGGTGGGTCTTTGAGTGAGCATGAGAGCAAGGCAGGCCGCGGGAGGCAGGGAGGTGGGCTTGGGCGAGGAGGTGAGTGTGAGGGCTGGCCTCAGAGGGACGCTGGATGTGGGGGACAGGAGCCGGGAAGCATCAAGTGTCTAGGGTGAGCAGGATGCGCGGAGGGAATGCAGAAGGTGGGGCCGCGGGGAGGATGTAGGGATTGCGTGAGGTGTGAAGGCGGGGCGCGGAGGTCCTTGGGCCTGCACGTGGAGGGGCACAGGTTTCCAAAGAGCATGGGAAGTCTCAGGGGACCGCAGAGCCAGCGAGGGGTGTGTGGGGGCTGCGATCCCCAGGGATGCGCAGGAGGTAGCGGTGATGGAGGATGGTTGCACACAGTGCAGTCCTCCACAAAGACATCGGAGTTCCCAGGTCCTGCCTGGAGTGGGTGTGGAGAACCTCAGCATCCCCAGCCAGCCAGCTGGGGCGTAGCCCTCTGGACCTTCGGACACTGGGCTCCCTGCCTACAGGTCTCATCCTAGGCGGCACACTGTCTTGTCTAGAATGGAGACAGCCACCATTCCGACGCGCACCTGGAGTGATAGGGCGTTTACTGACATCACTGAATTGTCCGCTTACCAAGTGATGACATGAAAAGCGGAGAGTCAAGTTATTTAAAATCCAGCTCTGTTGGAGTGGCCCTGCCCTTTTCTCCTGCTCACTCAGTGCAGAATGAGTGTTACGTACCACACAGATGCACTGCCAGATTAGCCGAGGAAGACATGCGAAAAGGGGGAAAAACAAAGACCCTCTGTCTCTTACCGCATTTCTGTGTGTACATCACATGCCAGGGAAGGAGCAGGAGGGAAAGGAAAAGGGACATTGAAGACTGACGTGCACCCAGGGATATTTCACATTTTCCTTATATCACAGGTACCAAGCTATGCAGATTAGACTAGCCACACATGTCCTCCTTTGGTAGTGCCATCAAACGCAGAATGCTCATTTCCCTTTTCTACTAGCTTTCCTCTATCTCCCTAAGGCAGCTGTGTCGCCTGGGGACAGAGCTTCTGGGCATTTGAATAACCTGGCAGGCTCCTGGAGGGTGACTTTTGGAAACCTGTTTGCCTGACATCTTCACACCTGGCTCTACCTCCATCTGGCTATATTTTCCACAAGACACTCACCTGCCTGAGGGAGCTGCCTGATTACTGTGGGACTCACTCACTGCTAGTGCAGGAGACAGCCACTACTGTGGGACACACTTGTGTACACTGAGACACCAGCCACCCAGGATCCTGCGTGTTCACTGTGGTCTCTTGTGCCCAGAAAAGTGGGGGCTACCACGTAGCCCCTGGATCAATAAGTAGAACAAATGTGGAAAGTACATTTGGGGTGTGCTGTGGACAGGAGTCACCTAAGCCCACTGCTCATAACCTGAAGGATGGCAGAACATTCCATCCCAACAACCCAACTTTGGCAACAGGATCACTTGGGCTGGAGGCAGCAGATAAACAGACACTAGAAGAGCTGACTGCCCTCCCAGAGTTCCTAAAAGGTGGTTTCCCTCCTTGCCACCTGGACTTAGCCAGTTGCCGACACTAGACCCTTCAGTGTGGAGAGGCTTGGGGAAGCCTTCCGACCCTCATCCACCCACTTGTGGGTGCTGCCTTGAAGCCTCAACTGCTTTCTTTGGCCTGTCATTTCCTGGCAGACTGTTCCGGGATACAGAGTCTGTGGGCACTGGAGTTCTCAACCACTGCTGGAGTTACTTTTTCCCAGGTGTCTCCCATGAGGTGTATGTGTTAATGAAATTGTTTTTCCCTATGAATCTTTGATTCGAGGGGTCTAAGCCATCTGTCATGCTGTTCTGGACGTGATCATGTGCTTGTCTGGGCTCTCACCATGAGACTGTCCCGCCGCCTAGGTTTTGGTCATCTGGGAAGTCTCAAACTTGAAAGTCCAAATCTTGCTCCAGACGAACTGACCAGCCTTCTCAAGATTATCAACAGGAAGGACAGTGGGCATATCGCCTTGGAAAAGAAAGGGAAGCTTCCCCAGCCACAAAAATGCCTAATCCTGGCTCGACTGAGAAAAACCTCTTGTGCAATTTGAAAGAATTGGTGTTGAAGATACTCAAAGTGGCACATGTCTAAAATAACAACAAAAAGTCTAACAATGGGAGAACAAGTAAATAAATAACCAGGTAAAGCACTTAGCTACTGTCAAACACCGTGGGACCTAGAAGTGTTAGGTTTGGGGGGGGGGGAAGGATCTCCAGCAGCTGCATGAGGTGAACACAAGCACAGGGCAGGTGCTATGTCCCCGACTCTGAGGCTGGTCTCCACCCATGGACTCCCCGCCACCCATTCAAGACAGTAGATCAAACAACAGTTAGTTTATTTATTGCAAGGATGGTCCTTACAACAGGTGAAGTCTCAGTGTGCAGAGATGCTGCACCACACCTTCCTGTGAAGAAGCACCAAAAAACAAATCCTGGATTCTGCAAGTGGGGCCCTCTGTAGCCTCACCCCTCCCTCAGGCAGGGCCAGAGCATCATTCCCAAACCCTTGCTCACCTCTGGGTGGAAAGGAACATTCCTTAGAAGCCCTGAGGGGTCCATGCTGAAGGACCTGAGGACCTTGGCCCCTCACTGGTCACCTTTTGCTCCCAGGGCCCTTCCTGTGGCTTCCCCCACGTCCCCTCCTGAGGACTGCTGTACCCTAATGAGGCAACCACATCCAGCCCATCTTCTATGACCAGATCCCACATCCAGCCCATCTTCTATGACCAGAGACGTGGCTTCACGATCAGGCTCAGACTGCAGCCCCAGAAAGTTAAACAGGCCGTGATGCCTCAACCTAGACCAGCCAGGCTGACTGGGCTCCTAGAAGCGAGCTGCCAGGGCCCCAGGCTTGCCTCTGAGGACTGTGAGTGATGCACTGATGACAGGGTCTCAACAACCAATGGCTGTGGAGGGTACCCCAAGTGAGGGTATTGCTGGCCCAGCACTCACTTTCACATGGCTTCCCGAAGATCCAAAGGCAAGACAAGGGCGTGAGAGGACCACTCACTGGGGAGCTAACCCATTCCCAGGCCCGCCCTTGGGCCGGCAGATGGTCATGGGGGTCAGGCTGCTGGACAGTGGAGAGAAGAGGGCCCGTAGTGTCCCGGAGAAGGGTGTCTCAGGGAAGGCATAAAGAAGCGACCCATCGGTGGCACTGTAGAAGGACAGCTGCCCGGCCTCGTAGTCCAGAAAGATGCCCACACGCCGGGGTGGGTCACGCAGCGGGGCAAAGGCCGGCTCAGAGGAGTTGTAGAAGCCCCCCAGGAATACCAGGATCCAGAAGCCGTTGCCGGCGAAGAGCTCGCCTTTCTCCTTGCGGTTGGCATTCTCTCTACAGACACCCAGGGCCCAGCTGGCCCGCTCACCCACCTCCACTTCCCAGTAGTGGCGGCCGGAGGTCAGGGGCTCCCGGCCCAGCACGCAGGGCCCAGGGTCGAAGCGCTCAGGGCTATCGGGCAGAGCCTGCCGCAGGTCCCCCCGCCGTACACTTCGCCTGTCCTCTGACAGGACTAGCTCAGGGTTGGCAGTATCAGGATCCAGCGTTACATCCCCTGCAGACAGAGCAGCAGTTACCTCAAGTCCCTCCCGCCAGCCCGAGGGGCTTCTACTCCTGACCTGAGTGGCCTCACAGCTGCCTGCAAAGTGACCACTCCCTCTAATGCATCCTCCCCGAAAAGATTGCCTAACCATTTGCAGTTGTGACACAGAACGTTCTGAAAAATAGACCACACTGCTTTGTGATTCATTATCCTTTAAGGGATAGGAGGAACCCAAGTGCTTTCTATGGCCATTTTCCCAGTGCGGGTTTCATGCCAGGATCCCCAGGGCCTGGAGCCCTACCTAGAGCAGTGGCACCTACCTCGGAACCTCTGCAGGACCTCCACCAGACCTGGGACCCTGCACACTGTTCTCATCTCCATAGGCACCACCTTGGGTGGCTGCAGCTTCATGTCCTGGACCCTGGAGAGGCAGCCAGGTGTCACCCCCGAGCAAGCCCACCTACACCCGCCCGCCTTCCCTGGGGAGAGGCTGGGCTCCTACCTGCGCAGGGTGTCCCTGATGTCCTGTGGGAGAGACATGTGGCATCAGCGCCTGTCACCTGGTCCTGGGCAATCCCCACCTGAGGGTCCCCCCAAACCACACACATGCCCCCCCCACACATATGCACACATGGTCAGAAACTGCCCCTAGGCCATCCTTAGCATGCTTACAGATGGGTACACTGAGAAGCTTGGGGTGCAGCCAGCCCTGCAGACCCAGCCTCATTCCCTCCATGTGCTTGGAGAGAACAGGGTATCTGGCTGCTAGCTCACTGGCCCACAGCCTGGAATGCCTATGGGTGCTGGGAACAGGCAGGGTGGGGTCCGAGCCTCCAGGGGATAAGGGCTGGCTCCATCCTAGCCGAGAGCCTGGCCAATATCCACCCAATGTTTCCTGCCTTCTGGCTCCCATCCCCAGCTTACCCCACCAGCTGCCCTCCCTCACAGCTGCCTTCCAGATCTGCTTATCTGTCTGGATGTTCTTTCCTCCCATAACAAAACATAAGAGCATTTTATTCAGTGTTACAGGCTGACCGTGGCCCCCAAATCCACATGTTGGACCCCAATGTCCAAGACCTCAGAAAGGGGCTCTATTTGGAGATGGACTTTTAAAAATTAGGTTAAAACGAGGTCACTAGGGTGGGCTGGTGTCCTTATAAGAGATCAGCACACAGAGAGCTGACCACGTGAGGACACAGGAGGAAGCAGCTATCCATACACTGAGAGGCCTTAGGAAAAACCAGCCCTGCCTACATCTGGATCTCGGATTCTGGCCTCCAGGACCGTGAGACAATAAACGTTGCTTAAGTCACCTGTCTGTGGCATCAGTTACACAGCCTGAGCTGACTGACATACTCTGTTACTTGAAACACTAGCTCCTAGCAGCAAGCAGTTCGTTTCTTTTTAGAACACTGCCTGGTACACTTTGTCAGTCCAACGAACCCCACGGCAGTCATTCTAACCATGCTGAGCACCAGCGGCCAGGGCAGACCCTGGGACGCAGACATGATGTGACATCATGTCCAATGAGGGCTTCCTTTGCAGTGGGAACTTTCGCACAATTGGTGATTCTGTCTGGGGGGCACAGGACCCACCAAGCCTCAAAAGAAGAGGGAGACTGGTGGGTTTCTGAAGCCCAAGAATTCATCAGGAGACATGGGGATGGTTCAGGCCTGGAGACGCATGTACAAAGGGCCTGGGCACGAGAAGCTTTGGGTGGGCTGGGTAGAAGCACTTAGAAACTGGATCCTGGGGAATGGGGTAGGGGGGGTGGTCTTGGTTGTCACAAGGCCTGGGAATTCCCTTGCCCAATCAATAGAGGGACAGAACAAGACACCCTGAGCAAGGGTAGGGTGGGGTGCACCTGGACGCTGAGGGGAGGGAGTTGGCCTTTGTGGAGACCACCTGGCTACTCTGGGTAGTGGGGACTCAAGACATGTGTCCCTTTAGGAAAATGCTCTGTACCCAAAAAGGAGAGCTAGGGGGAAGCTCAGAGGGGCAGCTGGGATGCTGAACTGTGGGTTTCTAAGTTACCCAAATCCTTGCCTCCTGTGTCCTTGGGGCCTTGGGCACCCCCCACACTGGGTGTCAGAACCCCAGCATGGGTAGATCCCTTGTCCAACACTGGGGCCGAGGGTACAAACCCACCTGACCTCTCCACTCACACCAGTAAACATGGTGCTGCCCATGGCTGTTTCCCCGTCCTCCACACAGCAGATTCACCCCCATCCAGCACAGGTCAGGGAAGCTGGGAGAAGCCCTCCCTACAGCCTGGGGCAAGGATACATGAGAAAAGTGGGGGGCCACAGAGAACAGGTGGAGAATAGTGGGGGCAGGTAGGAAGAAGTGAGGAGCAGAGTGGGGGCAGAAAGACACAGGTGGAGAAGCAGGTGGCTACTTAGTGATGTGAAATACAGCCAAGCTGGCTGAGGCCACCCACTCACTAGGACACCTGAGATGCCAAATTGCGTTTCACACAGACTTGTGGGTCCCATCTAACATCCTGGGCCGACTCTTCTTCCTAGAACCTACACCTCCCAGCTGGCCACCCAGTTCCACCTCACTGTTGCTGATGCCCACAGTCCCGGTTTTTTCCATTTCTCAGAACTGCTCAATGGCTCAACAAAGCCCAAAAGACCAAGTTCAAATCCCAGGAGAGCAACCAGGAGCCTCTTCCTGGTCCCCGAAGGTATGCCTAGCTCAAGCTCCACGGAGGTGCAGGAAAGTCCGAAGTCAGAAGACCTGCTCCTCCACCCAGGGAGGGCTTCCTCCACTTCCCACTCCCAGGCAGCCCCCATCCCCCTGGCGCCCCACATGCCCACCCCTGGTGCACCCACCTGCAGCAGCCCCAGTGCTGGCAGCTGGCAGCGCCCCTCCAGCTCAGCGACAAGCTCGGCCAGCTGGGCGCTTTGCTGCCCCAGCCGTGCTGCGCTCTCTCGCAGCGGGGGTAGCACCTCCAGCTCCTCCTCCTCTAGCCTCTGCAGCAGGCGCTGCTCCTCTTCTGCCAGCAGGCGGCGCAGCCGCTCAAACTCCGCGTGCACGTTCTGCCGCTGGCTTTCCACCATCTTCTGTGGGGGCGCAGGGGGGCAGTGAGCCAAACTCTCCACACCCAAACCCACTATGCGGGTGCCCCACCATCTCCCCTGACCTCTAGGACCATCAAACCCACCACCAGACTCCCTTACCCAAACGTACCACAGGGGTGCAGGGTCTGGAGTAGGGGTGCTGCCTTATGAGAACCATGAGTGTGAAGGTGGCGCCTCAGTGCCCCCCTTCTCCCCATCCCCAGGACCTCAGTGCTGGGCCACCTGCCTGCCACAGGGCGCAGGTCTCCTCCGCCTGGGCTTGGAACAGCAGTGCGTCCTCCATTTGCTTCTGCAGGTGCTCCAGGGACTTCTCCAGCTTGCCCTGCAGGGAGGCGAGGCCAGCCAGTGACCCAACTCGGCCCTGTCCCCGCTCCCGCTGCCCGGCCATAGCCGAGCCTACACCTGGTGGCAAGCACCAGTTGTGGGAAACCATATCTGGAACACAACCGACAAAGCAAACTGAATATGCCAGGAAATGCCCTCCATCCCCATGGAGGCCGACCCTTGGCCCCTAGCCAGTTATTTCCTTTCTCCTGCCATCCGCCGCCCCCTTCATCTCCTGCTAACATTCACTTCTGTGCCTGTCCCGGGCTTGCCATTGGTTCCCCAGAAGCCTCCAGAGCTACCAGATGTGTACAACTACTACATCTGTCTTCAGGCAATGCCCAACTTTACTTCGACTGTTTACCATACCTTGCTGGGGCATCCCCAGCATTAAGACAAAGTGGGCACCAGTACAGTGAAGGGAATCAGAATATACCACCTCAAGACAGGCCACTTTGGCATCAGGATTTTTTTGAGCTACAGATGATGGAGAAACGGCAGATGCGGGAAGAGATCTCTGCCCTCCTCCTTTTGGCCTAAAGGCAGGGTATGGATTTCCTGTGACAAAGGTGGCCTCCTTGTACCAGGCAGGGAGCACACTACTCACCGGAGATGAGGTGTCATCTTTGAAAGGAGTCTGCCTAGAGACTTTCCTAATACAAAGCTGACCTTCCAGTTGTTCCTCCATACATTTCCAGTTTCATTTCCCAGTTATTGGTCCTAGAAGCCCAAATCCCCATTCCTCTGTCTAGTTACTTTTCCATAATTTACCATCTTTGGTTAAAATAGAATATAAGCCCCTGAGTCTAACCACTCCTTTGGGTTTTTTCATTTTTTTCCTGTGAAACTTAGTGCCATGTAAAATTAAAAAGACTAATAAAATTACATCTTTTTATGTTAATCTGTCTTTTTTCAGTTTAATTTGCAAGCCTCAGACACAGAACCAAACAGGATAGAGAAAAAGGTTTTCCTACCCCTACGTTAGAAAGGGTTGAGTGCTGCCCCATGAGACTTTATCAGATCAGTTGGAAGGGACCTCTGGGGAGCAGCTGGAGAACTCTCTGCTCTCATGATCACTTTCTGTACCCTAATTGGGGTGCTTGGTGACAAGAGTACAAACCTGCCGGATTGAAATGAGGAGTGGACCATCCTGCATGCATGTAATACCTCAAAGTGAGAAAACCACTGGAATCCACGTCAACATCAGCCCACTGATGTGGATGGGGGAACAGGTTTATCCTGGTGTACCAGAAGCTTGTTCTATGATAGTGACCTACCAGCCAAGTATTGAACCTAATACTGACTAAACTTGGTACTTGGCAGATCACACACATGCACTGGCCATGAAACAAAATGCAAGCCAGTCAAAAAGTTTGAAAGATGCTGTCTCTGTATCAACACCTGTGTTCCAAAAGCAAACTCTCAGTGGGCAGGAGGCCAGGTGGGCTAGGTGAGCTTTTGCCCTGAGGCTCCCCGCAGGGGCGGGGTGCTGGTGTGGCTTTGGGTTTTAAGGAAATGCATTTACAGAACAGGAAAACAAGGCTTTCAGCCTGGAATCCAAGCACGGCTGAGCCCTGACGTGTCAGATGGCAGCCGTAACCCACTCAGAAAGCCAGGCGGGTCCTAGCATCTGCCTCCCAGGGCAATAGCTGTCAGCCAAGGTTCCCAGCATGGGGCTCTGCAGCCGGTTCCTTTTGGCCTCCTTGAGACCCTTCTTATCAAGACCTTCGCACTTGCTGAGGCCCCACTACGGACCCTGGTCACAACTCGTCCCCTTCCCCCATCAGAAATGACAGTCTTCATCTGTCCACCTCTGAGTGAAAGCCTCATCTGAGGTTCTCCTCCCACTCTCTCTTGCTCTGGGCTCCATCCCGGCCACTGTTCTGTCACACCTGCCCAGTACCCACCAGAGGGACCTCGGCCTCAGAGAGCACGCCCCCTCCCCCAAGTTCCCAGGTCAGTGCCCCACTGCTGAGTAGCGCCACAGCCGCGCGCAAGCGCTTGTCTGGGACAGGGTTAGCCCCCCACCCCAAACCCCAGACCAGGCCGCGCTCCCCAGACCTGAGCCAGGCTGCGCTCGCGCCTGCTCCCCCCGCCCTGCGGCGTACCTTGAGGTCCTCGGCCGCGTCCTGCAGCGGGCGCACACGGTGCGTCCAATGCTCCCCGGAGCGCTCGCAGGCTGCGCACAGCAGGCGCAGCTCATCAACGCAGAAAGAGGCCAGCGGCTCGCGGTGCGCGGCGCACACGCCCTGCGGGACAGGCGACGGCGGGTGCAGGCGCCGCGCCATCTCGGCCATCTTGGCGAGCGGGCGGTTGGGCCGCAGGTTCCGCTGCGGGGACAGCTCGCGGCACTCGGGGCAGGCGTACGGGCCCTCAGGCTGACCCCAACAGCGACGGATACACTCACGGCAGAAGTTGTGGCCGCAGTCAGTCATCACCGGGTCCGTGAAGTAGTCGAGGCAGATGGCACAGGTGGCCTCCTCCTGGAGGTTGGTGGACAGGTCAGGGGCGGCCATGGCACGGTGGAACGGAGGAAAACGGCGCTCTCTGCCGTTTGGACGCTGGCCTGCAGACGCCAGGAGTCTGGAGAGGGCGCGGTGGCCGAGGGCTCTGGGTATGCGAGGCTCAAGATTCCGGGGAGCGCGGTGGCTGCGGGGTCGCAAGGCTCAGACTACGCGAAGCGCAGGATTGCAGGGGGCGCGGTGGCTCCCGGACGCGGACAGGAAGAGGAGACGGCGGAAGCAGGAAGCATTCCCCTCCCGCCCCCCTGGAACAACCCGCTTTGGCCCGGGATTGGCTGCGGTGTGTCACGCGGCCCGCCGGCGGGACAGAATTGGAGACGGTTCCCGTGTCGACCTTGTGTCTTCACTGCGGCCGTGGCTCCAATTTATTCTGGATGCGCGGGGCTCGGCCTCTTCCTCCGGCCCGGAGAAGAATGGGGTGCAGGGCCCAGGCCGGCGGGACGCCCCGCACGGTCCCTGGGCTCCCCACGTAGTGCAGCTACCGCTAGGACTTAGGGATCCTCAAGGTAGCCTAAGCCCGTGCATCCCAGACCGGGCGTCCTAGGGCAAGCTCTGAATGAATAGGGCGCGGGGCTCCGTCAGGAACTCTGGTCTTTTGGGGGCAAGAGTACATTGACTGGAATTCTGGGGTGCTAATAGGTGTTACAGGGCTGTTGATGCGCCTGAAACTGCAGGGGTGAGGACCTTAAGGGTGGGGTAGGGAGGGAGTGAGAGAGCCCACCCCCACAATGATCTTTACTCTTTGAATTTCACCCCTACAGGTGCAACTTAATGGGGTGGAAAAGCATGCCGGGTGGGCAGCTCTGAGGCTTTTAGGGATTCAGCTTGAACGGTTGTTCTTTCTTGTTTTCCCTACGAAGGACCCAAATGTGGAACTGACGATGACATCACAGCCCTGAGATCACAGCTTTACCTGTAATAACCAGAACCTGGCAAGACTCAACAAGTGGCAGGTGGAGGGGGACATGGCTAAAGAAAACTACAGCATGCTGGCCTGGTCCATAGGTGTGTACTTAGAGATGGATACAGGTTCTATGAAGCCTTTGTGAATATAGTCTCAACATTTAACTGCTTTAATCATGATTATACTTTGGCTCTGTGATCCTGCCTGGTACAGTGACAGCTGTCCCTGCTCCACCTGAGAGAAGCAGGCAGGTGGTGCTGAGCAAGACCGCCTCACCTTTTTGAGAAAGCAGGTGCCCATAATACCCCCCCCCCCTGTGTACCTATCCTTTCACCCACAGTGTCACTGTGGAGATGACCATCTGGCCGGATTTGGGGGCCCCGAGGCAGAAGAAGGGCTGCAAGGGGCCTGGGAAGGTGGGCTGGGCGTAGGTATGCAGGTGGGACCCACTGTTCACATTATAGAAAGATACCTCGCCTGCCTCAAAGTCCAGAAAGACACCCACATGGCTGGGAGGCTCGGTCAGTGTGATGGGGGTCGGGGTGGACACAGGTGGCATGTACTTCTTTCCCTTGCACAGCTGCACCACCCAGAATCCATTTTCGGGGGACTTGGGGACCCTGTCCTTCCGGCTGACATTGTCCCTACACACACCCAGGGCCCACAGCGCATCACCGGTGAGGTTCATGCCCACCTCCCAGTAGTGTCGCCCCGAGGAGAAGGTTTGACAGCCCACTGCGCACGGGTAGGCCAGGAATCTGTCCTTGCTGCAGGGCACGCCGGCCGGCGGGGTGCTCAGGTAGCGCCTCTGGCGGCTCTCGTATAGCAGGAGGTAGGGGTACGCCGTGGTGGGGTCAGGCACCACGTCTTCTGCAGACAGGCCCAGCCGAGGGGGTAGGGGGCCTGAATCATCCCCATTCTTCCTCAACCCCCCTTCCCCAGGACTCCCCTTAGCTGAATCCAGCTGTGAGCCTAGGTCACTGACTGCATGGGCCGTACCCCTGCTTTCGATATTGGTGGTGCCAAAGAGATGGACTGGGGACCATTTGGGCATCTCCCAGGAGCAGTTGGTCAGGGCAGTGTGTGAAGGTCAAGGCCCTCAGTGGTGGCTCTAGCTGAGAGAATGGGCCCCACTTACCTTGGAAACTCTTGAGCACTTCTATCTGTCCCGGGACTCTGCAGACTGTCTTCAACATGGTGGGCGTGGCCTCTGGGTACTGCACACTCACGCTGTTCTTCCTCAAGTGGACACAAGTGTCACTGTCCCCTCTGGCCCCATGTGGAGCCCTAGGCGCCCATCACTGCCTCCACCGCAGGCAGCCACATACCTGCCCAGGGTGTCCTTCATATCCTGTGAGAAAATTGAGGGAGAAGGACAAGGCCTTGATAGGAATCTGGGGCATCCCCAAGCACCCTATGTGGACATTTCTGGCCTGCAGAGCAAGGAGGCTTTGTAATGCTTTCCCATGACCCTGCTCCCAGTTTCCAGAGTCGAGCCCTATCTCTGGGCCACCCAGGCCTCCTGCTCTCCCCACTGCACATGAGTGAGGACATGTGAGCAAGGACACGGGAGCTGTCCTGCTTGAGATGGGAGGGAAGGCACAAGAGACCCAGGGAGGGTTGCTTCTACACTGCAGGCCTTGGGTGGGTCAGGAATGTTTAGTGGTTGATGAACAGGCTGCCTTTTACTAGAAGACAAAGTCGCCCCCAAAGTTAGTGTGAGTGCATAGTCTGTCATCTAAACCAGGGCACTTATTGGTACAAAACCAAAGATGCCAGGACAATAGGCATAAAACTGGGGCTGACCCTGCATGTGGCATCAGCTTCAGTTGTATAAACATGCTCGGGGTGGGGGTGTGAGGGGGCAGAGAGAGGGCTCGCAGGGTGAAATGTGTTTTATCACCCCACACACTTGAGTCTGTCACCTATTTGTTGGCCTGCCCTGGTGTCGACATGCAGGCCGATCCTTGGCAGGCCTGCTGTGCTATCTCCCAGCTTCCATCCACCTCAGATGATATCACATGACTTATTCCTGCCATGAAGTCACGGGGCCCATCCTAGCTCGTGTGTCTCTACCCCACGTCTCTACATACATGACAGCTGCCCTTGGGCCACCCCGGGGCTAGGAGGGAATGCAGAACACAGGTGTCTAGGACTGGAGCCTGTTGGGCCCCCAAATCCACATTAGAGCCCAGCCCCCAGGACCTCTGATGGGGCTGTATTTGGAGATGGGGCCTTTAAGAGGTGAAGATGGTGAATGAGGTCACTAGAATGGGCCCTAATCCAATGTGGCTGATGTTCTTAGGAGATCAGGACACAGGAAGGAGTTCATCCACACACCAAGGGGAGAGGCCTCAGGAGAACCAGCCCTGCCTGCACCTGGATCCCGGACTGGGAGACAATAAATGTCATCTGAGCCCCCAGGCGTGGCATTTGTTAGGCAGCCTGAAGCTACAGAGACAGAACCTGTTGGCCTATATTTGTCCCTGCAGGCCAAGCACACCTGGGCCAGAGCTCTCTCCTGTCCTGCCTGGCCAGGTGAGTACCTCACCTGCAGCATGTGCAGTGGTTCGCGCATGCTCTGATCTTCTAGCTGCAGCAGCAGTGTCTCCAGGGAGCGGCTCTGCTGTTCCATCATGGCCGCACTCTCCCGCAGCCGGGCGGCTGTGGCCTCCTCCTCCTGCCTCAGAGCCTGCAGCAGGCGCTGCTCCTCTTCCATCAGGAGGACACACATCTTCTCAAACTCCATCACAATGCGCCTTTTTTGCTCCTTCACCTTCTCCTGCGGGGTGGGGGCTGGGAGTGAGGCACCACTTATGACTGCCAACTAGGAGGGCCCCAGGTGACCCACAGAAAACCACAGTCAGCAAAGGGGAGCTGGGGGCCACGCAGAACACCTGTCCCTAAGGGGTGACCCCTGAGCCCCAAATGGCAGCATCTAGGCCTCCGCGTGCCCATGTTCTCTCCGTCTCCAAAGTGGCCAGTCTGGACTGAGTGCATGTTCTCAGTCTCGATTCTGGCAGCAATTCTGTGCCTTTCTGGGGTTCTTGATCTCATCCATATGTGACAGTGAGTCCCACCTCAAGGGTCCCCAAGTTCCAGAGGCCCTGCCATGCCCTGGGGCCTAGCCGGGTCTTCCCATCTACTCCCTGCAGCCCCAGCACCTGCCTGCCACTCTGCCAAGGCCTGCTGCTCCCTGGTCTGCAGTTTCTGGGTCTTCGCCATCTCCTCTCGCAGGTGCCCCATGTCCTCCTCCAGCTTCAGCTGTGGACAACAGACTGCAGGATAGGAATCAGAGGCCCCTTGCACACCCATGTTGGGAGGTGCCCTCTGAAGCTGCATCCACCACAAAGACCATCTTAAGGGGGATGGAAATATGCCATCCCAAGATGTGCCCCTTGGGCAGGAAGATGATTCTGAGCTGGAGGCTAATGATAAGAGATGCAGAAGGATGCCTTCCAGGGCTCCTGTTATGTGACCAAAAGCAGAAACTGCTGAGAAATGAGGGCTGCCACGAATCTGCCTCCCAGGAAGTTTTATGGCCATGAAGGTGGAAAGTGGGCACCAAGAGGGTACTGATGACCTTTATCTTCCATTACTTCCCCCAAATATTTATTTTCTATGATCTGAATGTTCATGTCTCCCCAAATTTACATTAAATCCTAAGCCCCAAGGTGATGGTAAAGGAGGTTGGGTCTCTGGAGGTGATGTGGTCATGGGGGTGGGGCCCTCTGGAATGGCGATAGTACCCTTATGAGACCCCAGAGAGCTCCCAGCCCCTTCTCACTGTCTCACTTCCTGAGTCTGCACCAGGAAGGAGCCCCCACCTGACCATGCTGGCACCCTGATCCCAGACTTCCAGCCTCCAGAACCGTGAGCATGAAATTCCTGCCTGGTCTCTTATAAGCCTCCTGGTCTTACATTCTGGGACAGCAGCTAGAAAAAACTGAAGCACTCCCGGGTGGCTGACCCTTGAAAGCTTATCACTTTACCTTTGTCATTTCTCTCCAAATGTACTGTTCTTTGTTCAAATGCCAGACAAGCCCTAGTTCTGACCACTCATCATTCAGCGCAGTGGCGTCTCCCCTGTGATGTGCACCAACCACACGTGTTCACAGTTTGCCTTTCTCTCCCTGATCTGGCTTTGCTCAGTCTAATTGAGGGGCCAGAGAGCCTCAGGTGGGTGGAGGAAAAGGTTTGTTTTTTTCTTCCCTACAGAGGGGTCACCTGGCCTGCCCACACAGATGGCTGCACGAGGCCACTTGGTCAGCCTGAGTAACCATGGAGGGGATGCCCTGCTGTCTCTGCACTCTGTCTGCTTGGTTGTGGGAGCAAGCAAATACTTCCACTGTGGGGTCCCAGACATGGGCTGTTTGTTACCACACTCGTTCTCCTGCCTGACACAATGCTCGATGCATGTGCACTCAGGGCTCCTTGGTCCCTGCCGCCCCAGCTGGGCCCACCTTGTGTTCCTGCACAGCCTCCTCCACAGGGACCACCCTGTGGGACCGGTGGTCCCGGGACTCCCTGCAGACCACGCAGATGGGGCTCTGGTCATCCTCGCAGAAGAGTTTGAGCAGCTCCTGGTGCACCTTGCACAGGTCCCTGCTCTGGAAGCTGGGGTGCTGCCGCGCCATCTCGGCCACCTTGGTCAGCAGGCGGTTGGGCCGCAGGTTCCTCTGGGGAGATAGCTCGCGGCACTCGGGGCAGGGGAAGGAGCCCTTGCGCTTCCTCCTGCCTTTCTTGCCTTTGGCCCTCTCCCAGGTCAGCCGGATGCACTCGCGGCAGAAGTTGTGGCCACAGGTGGTCATCACAGGGTCGGTGAAGTAGTCAAGGCAGATGGAGCATGTGGCCTCCTCCTGTAGCTTCCTGGCAAGTTCCATGGCATCCATGGTTCCTGAGGAAGGAACAGAGCATATTGCCATACCTGTCCAGAGCTCTGGGCACTCGAGGTATCCTCTTGCAGATGGAGCTGAACAAGGGGTCCTGTTAGGGCACCCCAACTTGTCCTCAGTAAGACACACAAGTGTCTCTCTGGATCTCTGAAAGCTGACACAGATGCTCTCCATGACCAAATCCCAGCTAGGCTTCCCTGAGCTGCCGCCCTGGCTCTGACTGGCTGCACCTAGTCTTATTCCAGTTAGAGAGCCCTCCCTTGAGATGTCTGATGTAGTCCCTCATCTCCCATCCCACCTAGGGTAAATGCATGGCCTTAAACCACCTGCCTGAGCAAGATTCCTGCTACACCACTTTTGGTAAGAAGATCCCTCCCCTGTCTCTTCCTAGTGATTTTCCATCCCGCTGTGTCAGCTGCATTCTGAGCCAAACCCATCTCCCTCCCTATTGCAAGAGCCTTGAATAAAGTCTTTTTTTTTTTTTTCTCGGTCTAACGAGTGTCAGTCAGTTTCTCTTTAATGGAACACCTGTGCAACAAAGGGAAAGGGGACTTTAAGAGGAAAAATTGGGGTTGACAAAGGCTCTTCGCTTCACCAAACTCTGCTCAGGCTCTGGGAATTTTCCAAACCAGCGCTGGGCTTCTATGTTATCTCTGCATTGTCCAAGCTTAGTAAGAATCCCACTCTGTTGGTTTAGCCAGAAGTCTCCTACCCAAAGGTTTCCTGTTATTAATTTCATATCACCGATCACACCCTGCTCCTTAGCCAAATCCCCACTGGCCTACCCTGTATTTGGAGCTGAGCTTTCCTATGGGGTTCTATGCTGTTCCCATTGGGCAACAGTCCTGAGTAAAATGCTTTTACTGCTCAGACTACCATCCAGCTCTGGTTTTCTTTGTTAAGTCGCAGCACAGAAAAGACACAGGAGTGTTCATACATACACACAGATGCACAAATGCATCATACAAAAGCACATGGACACAATACACATATGCAACACACACACCACATGTACACATACATGAACATCTTACACCATGCTGATGCACAGCCTCTCGGTGCACCTTTCAGGGTGGTCACTGGGGCCAGTCAGAGACCATTTGAACATCATTTCTGAACCACAGCACTGTCTGGGCTCCCATCCTTGGCACCACCCCAGTGGTGGCTAATTCCTCAGACACTGCGGGTTCACTTTGTGGAAGGTGCCTCTCTCTGGGCAGACCCCTTGGGGGGTCATGGTCTGACTATCTTTGTGGAAGGTGCCTCTCTCTGGGCATGACCCCTTGGGGGGTCATGGTCTGACTATCTGCTGTTGGCCACCCCAGGCTGAGCTGCTGCCCACTCACCGGAAGCCGGCTGAGCCTGGACGGTCTGGTGGGCGCAGGTCTGGTTCAGGCTCAGGGTAAGCCGGCCAAGAGCTCTGGATCAGTGACGATAGCCACACTCGGTCCTGGGATGCCCCTGTGTAATGCAGGCTAAACCAGGTGACCTGTGTAGTTCCAATTTATAATCATCTTCAAAGGTGGGATCCCAGGGACACCCACAGGGTGACTACCGCCCGCCTCTGGAGGGGCTGGTAATCACCCAGGAGAGGGGCACACGCTGTCCGCGACAGGTGCCAGCAGCCACACGCGCAAACAGGGCCTCCAGAAAGCCTGCGTTTGTGCCACGGACGGAGACCATCGGGGGCGGCGGCCGCGGGGCTCGGGGCTTTGTGGCGTCAGCAGGGGCTGGGAGGCCACAAAGCGCCAGGGTGGGGGGGTTCGTTATCAGAGTGCGGGTGGGGGTGGGGGTGGGGCCGAGGAGGTTTTGTGGGGGGTGTCAACAGCGGGGCCTTTTGACCCGCAGAGAGCGGGCGCAGAATCGACCAGTGGCGAAAGGTGGTGGGAAGTGTCTTGGTTGGAGGGAGGCGGGAGCGGAGAGGATAGGGACTGGAGCCTTGTCCCGGGAGCGGACCAAGGTGAGTTGCGAGTTGTGAATTGCGAGTTGCGAGTTGCGAGTTGCGGGGGCTGCATCCATCGGGCAAGCGGCGTGGGGTATGGGGGAAGCTTTGGAATGGGTGGGAGGAACTTTGCAGCGGGGAGTCGGCGCCGGCCCGGGCGTTGGGAGGGAGGTGAGGGCGGAAGAGGCAGCAGGGACCCGCACTTGGTTGGAGAAGGTGACGTGTGTCATTGGTATAGGTGACAGGGATCGGGAGGCCCCAGCAGCTCTGGGTGAAAGGAGGAGGTGGCGTCCGGACCCCGGGTTAAGAGGCACGGGGCAGGGTGGGCCCCTGGGCGTCTTGCCAGCGCCCGGAAGTGGTTTCTCTGGTTCACTGCCCTCCAACCCTGACCTAACCCTGGCCGGTGGCTGCACGCACCTTGAGTCCTAGTTCCTGGGGAGGAAATAGATGTGGAAACTGAGGCTTGGGTCACTGCAGGAGTGCGCGAAACAGAAGGGCGTCATCTTCAGGGCGTGCGGGTGCAGACCGTGCCTGGGAGTGTTTCTTGGGTGGTGGTTCCTTACTGAACACGACTAGGACGGAGCTGGGCTGCGCAGCCCTGAGTGCCCTGGGCAGTGCATGGCGGGTGAGGGGGGGCAGACGATTTGCTGAAAGAGGAAACATTGTAATTCCCCCGCCCCCAAGTCCCTGACCCCGCTCTGCATGTGAGAGGATTCTGCGCTGAGGGTTTCTTCCAATTTAAAAAATAGAATCACAGAATCTTTAAAACTTTAAAACAAAAATCAAGAAAATACACAAAATGATGGATCTCATATATAAATTGCCCAGATCAGCATTTCACTGTATTTATTTCATTTGTCCTGGTGTTTTGTCTTGGCTGAAGAACTTAAAAAAAAAAAAAAATCCCAGACATCACTAGATTCATCTCTACCAGCTTCTGCAAAAGAGGGAAAATTTTCCCTCTGCCCTCTTAGGATCAGTGTTTGGGGCCTGTTAATTAAACAGACAAAAGCCCAATCAACAGGAGAAAACTTTAGCTTGTATTTATTTGGGGGTCAACGAAGGAAGTAGCTGGCTTGTTAAATAAAGACTTATATACAAAACTTAGTAGGGGAAAAGGGAGGGACATCTGTGGGAAACACAGATAGGTTTCTTTAGGAAAGACAAATGGCTTTTTAGAACAGAGGAGATAAGAAAGTGTGTGATGATGTTTGTCTACACAGCTGTGAGTGGTCTTTCCACATTTTTCGGGGCCATAAAACTGCCCTAGAGAGGGGGTTTATGGCAGCCTCATTCCCTAGTAGCTGCTGCTTTTACTCAGATAAGGGAAGCTCTGAGGAGGCTTTCTTCTGTATCTGTCAAATACCAGATATCTTCATCTCAATGTTTATGGCAATTCCTGGGTTCGAAGTAGGCCCCATACTCCCACTCATCTCTTAAAATGTGGGTGTTTCTTATGTAACCACAAGGCTTTGCCAGTCTTGCACAATCATTCCTTGTTTTATCTGACCTCTGGTTTATATTCAAATTTCATCTATTATCTCAAAAGCATTAAAGATAGTTTGTTTGAGTCAGGATCTGAATAAGGTAATTAGGTTTTTCAGGACTTAAATGTGTGGTCCCCCTTCATTCCTTACATGTTTTTCCTCCTCCTCCTCCTCCATCATCATCATCTTACTTTCATGGGCTACAGACCTCAGGGTGGGCACTCTACACAAAGCAGCCTAACTTAGGGATCTGTCTCCTTGCTCTCATAGTATTTCTGATTCTGTTCCACCATCCCCGGATGTTCTTAACAAGGGATGTTCTCTCCAGGGCTGAGCCTGGCAGCAGGGCTGCAAATTAGGAACCTCCCCACCCCCAGAGGAGGAGGGGCTTTAGATAGTCCAATGCTGGGCAGCTCAGCATCTTTGTGCAGGAGCCTGGCTCCCCTGTTTTTAAAACTCCCGGAGCATCCAACTGGAAGAACAAATACAATGAAAAATAAGAGGCTTAGTTCTCTCTGTGGAAAATAAGAAACCAACCCCCCCCTCCCCCCGCCCCCGTTCTTCCCTTTCAGAACTTCTTTCTTTGTCCTTTTTGAATGCATACAATATCTTTTTTTTTTTTTGGTGGCTAATTAAGCCTCTGGCCAGGCTCACGCCTCGGGAACCTGGGAGCTTCTCTGAAATTTCTTAGGGTCCTGGGAGGAGATGGGCCTAACTTGTCACCTGACATCAGATCAACCAGGTCATAACCTCAGGAGAAAAATTTCAACTTTACATGAAGACAGAGAAGTAATGGTTGTATCCACTGGGTCTTGCTGTCCCCTTAGCTGGTGCCTGTGAGTGGTGTCACGTTGGCTGAATGCTCATTCAGGAACAAAACTGTTTTCTTTTCCCTTTTTGTGGAGCAGTCTCCTGGGTTGGGGGCAGATTTCATTGTACGTTATATTTCTCCAACATTAACGAGCAGCCAAAGTTGAGAACTAAGGGACTAGATCGTGACCAGATTCAGGCCAACACTTCTGCCAAGAACGCTGCATGGCTACAGGCACAGGTGTGGTGCAGAACCAGAGTTTTAAGGAACCCGTGAGACTGTTAAGCCTATGACAGGGCTGGAGACCCTTGGGTCACTGGTGAGAATTTGAGGCAGGGAAAGTGTGGGCTGCATCCTTGCAGCAGTGCAGAGGCTGGAGGGAGCAGCTGTTGGTCTTCTGTGGGCTTCTGGAACCTGCTGGGCCTCAGGCCTCTCACTAAGAAGGACACATGCGATGGTCCCGGTAGCAGCACAGCTTCTGCACCAGATGCCCCTAGTCCCTTTCCGGCGTGGAAATAAAAGGAGCCCAAGGACAAGAATGGCTTTTTGTTCAGAGCTTGCTGCAGGAAGCGAGTCAGCCACTGTCACTCATGAGAAAATACACCCAGAGGCCCCGTGGTGACAGGGAGGGCTCCAGGGGTGCCCTGATGGGGGTATGGGCCCGTGGAGCTGGTGGCCAACTAGACAGGTTGCATCCACTCAGCTCTGTGAGAGGGTGAGATCTCTTCCTGCCTTCGCAGTCTCTCAGCAGATTGCCTGAGGTGCACCCACATTCTGGTTTCCTGCTTACTAAATAATAGCAAAGTTTTTCTTTTTCTTCTCACTTTTGTTTTTAATTACATTGCCTCAACAGGTGCAGGCATGTGTGTGGTCAGGGTGGACACCTGACACTGCCGCTGTGCTTCCTCTGGTGGCACCACTCTAGGCACTGTTCCCTGGTGCTCGCTGTGCTAAAGTTAGAATGTGTTTAAGTCTTTTACCTTCTGCAGTTGTGACTCATTAGTATAAACTAATCCAGTCACATTAAAGACTGTTATATTTCCTAGGATTCTTGGTTTCAAGTGACAGAAACCCCAATTTGACTGGTTTCAAACATATGGTACATTCATCATAAGATATCAGGGATCTTTGGGAACCATATGACAGTCCCCAGCACCAAGATCCTCCAACTTGTCATACATTATGGCAGCAATCAAAAACTAATATGAAGTCTATTTTAAAGTTAGCTGGAATAGTTTGGGTTAATAGAGAGGCTCTCAGAATTTACTTTAGAAATAAGCAGCCCCTTGCAGCTAGTGAACCTGCTGTGCCCCATCCACATGCAGCCCCAGCTACTTAAGTTCCACATCCTTCCTGGAGCACCAGCCCACCCTCAGCCCACTCATGTGCTATGGCCTCCCTGTCATGGTGGCCTATCAGTGAGGCTTCTAAACCAGGAGCCTTGTTATTCCCTGCACAGTTCACTAGATTCTCCATGTCCCATTCTCCTTCTCAGTGAAGCACTTGTTTATTTTTTTTATTTTTTTTTTGGTGTTGGTGGTGGTGGGGTACACTAACAATGCTTCAGGCACTGAGGATCCCTCCTGTCCCGCACCCCACCAATCTATTAGGGTACATATTCAGAGCCTCTCCCCCTCCCCCGCCATTAACCACTGTCTTTTCATCCCCTGGCTTTGCTTTCCAATCCTACCACATGTATTTTCCTATCTAATATGTAGTTTGATTCATTTGAGCAGCTCCAGTGATCATCCCAGGCCTTTATTTGTTTTGAGAACTTAGGCTCTTAATTTGCTAAGGGGCTGGTACATTCCCCTCATAAACACTCTCCCTGGTGGACATGTGGCTCGAAGGTGTGGGTGCAAGGCCCACAAACAGAGATATTTCAGTTTCATTTTTCCACCTGATTAGAATTAGAAGATGCAGAAACAGGGCTCATGTCTTAATTGTAGTATTTTTGTAAATTGTAATGTTTTTGTAATTGTAATGTTTTTGTGAAGACGTTCAAATTTTTCAGGTAATATGAAATCGATTTTTGTTATACTTGGAAGTTCTTAAGAAACATCTGATGCAGGACAGGGTGAATCCCTGAGTGGGGACTCAAGTCCTACACCAAGAGAGAGGGGAGGGTCCTTGACTCCACGCAGGAAAGAATTCAAGCGCACACCAGAGTTAGAGACAAAAAAGTTTATTAGAGAAAGAATAACATGCCACAGACAGAAACGTCTTCTCCTCTCAGAGAAAATGAGAGAGACCCTGAGTGAGGAATTCAGTTTAAATCTGCTTTCCTTTCTGGGGATGGGTCTGCAGCAGAAGGAGGTTGTTGTTGGCAATCTCAGCAAGAATCTTCCTGTAGGTCCCCATGGCTTGTCGCTGTGGCTTGGCTGGATGCTCATCAGCCAGGTTCCTGTTTCAGGCAGCATGTAGCAGGCTCGGGATACAACCCAGTTTAATATTTAGTTAATTTGAGTAGTTCTCATGCCTCTTCCATATATCACATTCATGCAATTATGTTCTACTTCAGATGACAGCATTGATTTGTTCTGTGTTTAGATATTCACTGAGCCATCCCAGTCAGACCACACATGAGAGAACTCCTGGTGTTTCTGGTCATGGGACTCCTTTTCCCGAGTTGTCATCTCTTGTGTGCTGCCATGTTGGGTAGGTGCTGGAATGTTCCTTAGAGAGACTGTAGCCCACCCCAAGGATGCCAGTTGACATACTCACTTCAACAGCCACCTGCTCTGTTCAGGCCTTCCGCTCCAGCTTTGGGTCTGAGTGGCTTTTTGTAGAAGATTCACCTGAGGACCAACATGGACACAGCTGTGTTAAAGAGGCTTCCTGGACTATTTATGTCATCCTGAGAGACTTCAGTTACCTTCTTCCTGGGTCCCCTGTTCTTTGCTTCTCTGTCCTCTGTTCCTCACCCTTAGGTCAACAAGAGGACCAACCAGTTCTCAGACGCCATTCGCTCCCGTCACCCAATTTCCCAGCTCCCCCGCCATCTATTTGTGCACTGGCCCACCCATTAAATAGAAGTTAGCAAAGTTGGGTGGAACATGCAATGCCAGACCCTACTCTGGATACAAAGAACAGAATGAGATAGATCTGCCAGTGGCTTGGTCTCCTACGGAAAGATAGAGTTTTATTGTGGTTGCCCAGTCTACCCTGTTAAGAACATATAATCTGCATCCACTTCCCCAAATGTAGCTGGTTGCTCCATTTCCTTCCTCCCTGAGGCCATACAGTAAGATACACAGGTCAAGTACGTTTCTGACATTGAGCAAAACTTTGCCAAGGGCTTCATGAAACACAGCACGGCACTACATCCACACTTGATTAAAAAGGAGGCTAGTATTGATGGTTAGAGCTGACGTTAGAGCCATGGCTCCAAAGAACATGGCTGTCCCTGAACATTCTAGGCTTCTTGTGTGGCCCTTCAGATTTGTCACCAACTTACATTCTAAAATTTAAGACACTATTTTTAATCAACACTGTGCGTGTACTTTAATTGAAGCTTTTGAGTCTATTTAATAACAAGTTGGGCTGAAGGGAAGCCCAGCGCTTCAGACCGATAGCACTGGGCCACCAACAGAACACATTTCTTTGTAACTACCACTATCCATAGGCCTTCACATGGCTGTAAGCACCTTTAAAGCGCAAATCCCGAAGGGATGGGTTTTTGTTATCACCACTACTGGGCAGAGATTCATTACATAAATGAAACCTTAATAAACACTGCCATACATTAGAAGAGGGGAAAAAAAAAAAATCCTTACTCATCCTCACATCCATACTCAGGTTCTCCAACTCAGCTCTGTTCCTGGGTTCGTTTAATTGCATGATTGTCGGGTTTCTCAAGTTAAGTCTTATGCCTCATCCACCACTAACAGCCTTGATTTTCTGGGCTTGGGAAGCCTATTCACAGGTGCGTGAACACCACCGCTAAACCCCCAGAGTAAACAACCCTTTTCGAAAGCCAGGATTGGGGGTTTCCAGTGGAACCTCCCCATCTCAAGAAAAAAAAAGTTAACATACTCAACCAGCAGTACTTCTGGTGTTAAGGGAAGGGGTAGAGAGATACAAGCAGTGAGGAGGAATCCCAGGTCCCTACAGCACCTTTTGTGAACATGTGGTGGCTCTGAAAAGAGCCTTTGGGGGTGAGTAGTAGTAACTCTAGCAAGGCAACGTGTGCGTGCTCCGGGGTTAAGCACGCTCCCCACGGATGCGGCGTGCCAGCTGGACATCCTTGGGCATAATGGTGACGCGCTTAGCGTGGATAGCACACAGGTTGGTATCCTCGAAGAGTCCTACCAAGTAGGCCTCACATGCCTCCTGCAAAGCCATCACAGCCGAGCTCTGAAAGCGCAGATCGGTTTTGAAATCCTGCGCGATCTCGCGGACCAGACGCTGGAAGGGCAGTTTGCGGATCAGCAGCTCAGTAGATTTCTGATAGCGACGGATTTCGCGTAAGGCTACCGTACCAGGCCGGTAACGATGTGGTTTCTTCACCCCACCAGTAGCTGGCGCGCTCTTGCGAGCTACTTTAGTGGCCAACTGCTTACGCGGAGCCTTTCCGCCGGTGGATTTGCGAGCCGTCTGCTTGGTGCGGGCCATGTCGCCGACGCCTTCAACGAGATCTTCACTGCTGAATCCCTTGCCGATCACCGACTACGCAAGATACTGTGAGCGCCCACTTTTATAGAGGCTGCTGTTTTCCTATTGGACGACCATAGGGTGGCGTGATGACAGGATGCATTCTGATTGGTCTGTGGGGAGTTCCGCTCAGCTGCCTGCCTCTTATATTCGCGTCTCTCGGGCATGGCCGCTGAGTCCTGCAGGAGTTGGAGGCTTCGCGGACCTGATTGAAATCTCTGGGAGTTATGAGGAAATTACATTTTGTCATGGTCATTCTTTTAATTTCAATCTCCTAACATTTAAGGTGGAATTTCTGTTTCCTTATTTATAAGTGACGATTGTCTGTACTTATTTTTTTTGGTGCGTCATCTTCATTTGTTTTAACAGCAACATATTTTCAGAAGGAAAAAAGGCTTTCATTTTGGGGAAATTATTTATTAGTAGAATTTTATATGTTTTAAAATAGTTTCACAGTAATTTGCCTGTGGGCTGACATTTTTTTCAGTTCTTCAGGGCTTTAAAAATCTTTAACTCATTTAAAACATTTAACAGTTATGAGCATGTCTGAATGTTTGCAAGAGATAAGCTATAACATAGGCCAGTTAGAGAATTTTCTTTTAGAAGAGATACTTACAGAAAAAATTATAAACCTATTGTTAACCTAGATTAAAAATAGTTTGGTGACAGTCCCTAAGAGCTTAAGCATAAGAGAACATCCACACTGGAAAGCAAGAAATAAAATTATTTGCAGATGATGTAATCTTGTATATAGAAAGTTCTTATACTTTTAAAGAATTTTCTGGCCTTTTCCCTATTTCCTTTTAGAGCAGTAGTCCCCTACATTTTTTGGCACCAGGGACCTGTGCTCCTATGAGACACTAATGCCTGATGATCTGAGGTAGAGTCGAGGCAGTGATGCTGGTGCAGGGGAGTAGTTGCAAACACAGATGAAGCTTTGCTCACCTGCTCACCCCTTACCTGCTACTGTGCAGCCTAGTTCCCAGGGGTTGGAGAATCCCTGTTCTGTAAGATCTTTACACCTTTTTCAAGTAATGAAGAAAGTCCAAATGGCATTACATTGTACTTACAGATGAATTTAAGTAAAAATGGATTTTTTCAAATATTTTAAAAGCAAGTCTGTTTTATTTAAATATTCTCTACCAATCTCTCAATATTTTATATTTTACCTCAAAATAATATTTACTTCTTTTGGTATTATGTTTACTTTCTTACAATGAATGAGATTTTCACATATTTTCTACTGATTCCTACTTAGATACAGGAAAAATGTGCTTAGCTGAATTCCTGAGTGAACACTTTCATTTGTTTTGGTTATTTCTATAGGGCAATGGCTCCAAATGTTAGCATCCACTGGGCTACCTGGATGTCTTTGCAAAGCAGATGGCTAGGCCTCAACCAGTTTCATTCAATGGAAGACACTGTACTCTTAACAAGTTCTGAGCAATCTTGATGCTGTTGGCCCAGGCTAACATTACAGAAAAACACTGCTCTAGGATTTCCAATGACGGTCATTGGTACAAATTCAACACCAGAAGGGAGAGTGCAGTAAAAAAGGAAACTAATCAGTGCAAATAGCTTAGTAGTGCTACAACTCAATTGTGAAACTGCATGGCTGTGATGGGGCCTTGGAGAAAAAGATCCTTACTACCTAGGCACGTCTGGTCTGTCGGTCCACCTGATCCAGGCTCTCTTCTACTGTGCTCTCCAACAATCTCGTCAGCTCCATTAGCAAGTTCTATCTCTGTTTCATTCTCAGTATTTTAAATTCAGCTGTGATAACAGAACCCAATCACAATAAAAAAGAAAACTAAGTCCAGAATTTCATTCCCGTGGTCCCTGATTGGTCTGTCTTCATGCAAATGAAGATTCAAAATTCTCACATTTTGATTGGTCCAAAAGGCACTGTCCTGATTGGTCAGAATGGAGCCATTCTGATTGGTCAAGAAAGATGCTGACAGGAGACTATAGCTGCAGCTCTGATTGGACAGGGAAAGCCTCAATTCTATTGGTTGAAATGCTATTCCAGGAACTTCTTTATAAGGGCTGGCTCAGGTGCTAGAACACAATGTAGGCAGGCAGTTTAGTACAGCCTACTCTCTGAGTCGTGCTTGTGTGATGAGGCCCCTGTGTAGACATGGCTGGGAGGTTGTGTTTTTTTGTTTGTTTTTTTGTTTGTTTTTTGACCCTGGTTAACTACCAGAAGCCTTTCTCAGCAAGCAGCTTTTTTAGTCAGAGTCCACACCAGGTATTAAATACTCAAACAATTGTTTCTTTTATTACATTCTCTAACATTCCAGAATAAAAGTAACACAGGACTTTCTTGTTGCTCAAAGAATGACGTGTTTCACCACCATACACGATGCTGAGGGTTTGTGTGAGAACTACTTATTTTAACGGGTTAAAGAATCATGAATTTATTACATTTTACTAAAAGCTTACTATTTATTAAAGGAAGATAATTATCCAATATTAGTAAGAATAATTCCAGTAATGATTAGGAATTTATATATATACATTCCTGGGAATAACCCACCTTCATTCTTATGGCAAGAGTTTCTGGCAAGAGCTAGTTGAAGGGCTTCTGGGGGTATCTGCATTCTGATTGGCTGACATACACAGCTGTTTTATCCAATTAGAGAGCTGAGCTGTGGCTGCTTATTTAAATGGTCCATTGAATTGAATCAGATGTTGCATTCATCAAAGGCCTAATCTGAATGTAAGCCGTACAATTAAGACTGGCTTTGCCATCCACCTTTTCAAGGACCTGTACTGTCTCCAGTGAAGTACATTTCTGCACCTACAAGACTTAGTGTAGGTGTGGCTGATGTGCAGGAGAAGGATGAAGCAGAGCCCAGTGACCTTGTGTCCAAAGCACCCAGATCTTCTCTAAGTCCACTAGCTGCAAGGAGCTGCTTATTTCAAAAGTAAATTCCAAGAGCCTCCCTATTAATCCAAACTACCCAGCTAACTTTAAAATAGACTTCATATTAGCTTTTGATTGCTGCCATAATGTATTAGCTCCAATATAGCTACTTAAAACCCCTTTATTGAGTTCTGCAGACCCGAGACCAGGCATGTGACTCAGGTAGGTCCTCTGAGTCTCATGGGCTCCAGTCAAGGTGTCTTCCCAGCTGCCTTACTCTCTGGGGATAATTGTGCCCCCAGGCATACTCAGGTTGTTGGTAGTTCCTTGTGACTGTAGGATGAGGACCCTTTCTGGCCCACTGAGCAGCAGGCTATCTTTTCTCCTAGAACCTACTCACATTCCTTTTCAAGCTTTCCAGGCTGTCCCACCCAGCAAGAGCCATCAACTCAGCCTCCAACTGCTCCTATGATTAGATTGAGAAATGCAGGATAATCTATGTTAAGGTCGTTTAATAACATTTGCGAAGTCCCACTGGTATGTGACATAGCTTATCTAGAAGTCCTGGGATCTAAGGCATGGAGATCTTGGAGGAAGTTGCTGCAGTGTCCCTGTCACAGACTACTCTAGTCAGATTTTCCCTCGGGATCTATTTAGTTACCCATTAATCATATCCCTGAGGATATATAGTAAACACGAAGCTCAATTCCTTCCTCCACACGTAGACTCATATGTTTCAGTCAGGTTCACACTCTCACCATGGACATTCACAGATGACTCAACAAAAGGGAATATAATAAAGCTGGAAGGTTTGTTTGTTTGTTTGTTTGTTTTTTAAGAAAAATGATATGAAATGGGTGTGCCAGAGAACCCTAAGGCTGTCCTTTCAGGAAGAATTAGCCAAAGTCCTTACGTCTAGGGCATGCACGGCCTCCGAGAAATCAGTGACATCGAGAGTGCAAAAACCCGGAGCCGCACACGCGATTCTGAGCCGGAGGAGAAGCGAAGGGGCGGGTCCGCGCGGGGAGCAGGATGGCAGTCGGCTTCCTCAGGGCAAGAGGGCGAATGCCCCACCAATTCGGTCAGGCCAAGAGCTTTTGAACTGACCAACCCGGAAACGAGCCTGAGTGTAAATACGGCAGCAAGGGCGTTGGTGCTTTCTGTAGGAGGCCCGCGCACAGCGCGCCTGAGCCTCCGAGCCCACTGTTCGCTTCGGGACTGTCTCCTGTGCCCTGCATCCTATATCACTGCATCCCTGCCCCCTGTATCCCACCGCGATATCACCTCATCCCTCATCTTTTATTCCGCAGCCCTGAACGCCCGCATGCATGAACCTCTGCACTCCTCCCGCCTCGCACTCGGTACCGCCGCACCGCCGAGCCCCGCTGCCGCCGGGGGTCGGCCGATCCTCCTGCTTGCGTGCTCCCTCCCGGTACCCCGGGCACTCAATCGCGCAGAACCCCAAGACCGAGAGTCCTGCGGTGATGGCGCCGCCGGAGGCGCCAGGCCCCCACGGTGGGTTTCTGAGGCCATCCGCCTCTGCGCCACTCCGCCCTACGCGTTCCGATCACGCCCAAGGACCTCCACCGCATGCATCACATACACGGAGAGCGAGCTGGAGCGGCGACTCGGACTCTAAATGACATCAAGCCCACGTCCCTATTTTTACGTTTCAGCAAAAACAGCCCTGCGCTCCCTCCCCGGATGGCCTCTGAAGAGGCCACGCCTTCAAAGTCCCTTTGCAACAACCGTCGCATCCCGGAACCCGATGGATGGTGGCCCTCGTACTTGTGTTCTCAGTTTTCTTTTCTTGATAATTTCCAACCAAAGCTGGAGTCCGCTCGCTGACCATTGTGGAAAAGGAAGGGGTAGGGTTGTGACTTAGTGCCAGGGCACTGGGTGGCACACGCCCTCCGCCCTCTGGCTGTGTTGCTGTTGGAGCTCAGTTTTCTTCCTTCCATGCCCACTGGCTTTCCAATCACTACTGTGTGTGTGTGTGTGTGTGTGTGTGTGTGTGTGTGTGTTGGGGGGGGGGGGGGTGGCTGCGGTGGTGGTTTACATTTCATTTTTCAGTATTCACTTAGCACCCACTAGT